TAAACACTAGACTTACCTATTTTACTTCAAGTAAATTATATTTTAAGAAAAATGAAAAAAAAACATTAATTTTATTTTTTAAAAAGATTTTATTTATTCATGAGAGACAGAGGCAGAGACATAGGCAGAAGGAAAAGAAGGCTCCATGCAGGGATGTGGGACTCAATCCCGGGACTCCAGGATCACACCCTGAGCTGAAGGCGGACGCTCAACCACTGAACCACCCAGGTGTCCCCAAAATCCCATTTTAATGTGAGGCATGACCTCGGTACTACCCTTCCTAGCACTTCCTGTGGTCGTCCATCCTCGTGTGGTTATGTGGCAGAGCAGAGCCATGCCTGCCTTCTTCATACTTAGGTTTCCATTGTCTGGGACACAGCAGGCTCTCTGTGTGTACCTGCCGAGTGCACAGATAAGTGTTGGGTTCAAACCAAGCTCTGTACAAGGTGCTGTGGGAGGGCTCAGCAGAGAGCCTGGGGACCCTGGACAGGAGGGCGGGTGCTTCATGGAGGAGGATAGGACAGGTGAATCACACCCTGAAGGCTCTTGGGAATATTTCTCAGGCAGAGTAAAGGAGGAAGGGCAGGTAGGCAGAGGAGCCTGCATGTGCAAAGGCCCAGCGGCAGGAAGAGTAAGTTGTGCTGTGGTGGTAGGAGCCTTGGCTGGTGGTGACAGGAGGAAGGGAGCCTAGTGTTGAAAGATAGGCAGGACCTTCTGAACTGACTTAAAGAGCTTAGTCCTTAGTCCATGGGAGCCATGGAAGGTTTTGAGAGAGAGTAGTCGTAAAATCAGATCTGCATTTTAGGAAGATCACTGGGTTTGTGGACCGGACCCCAGTGGAATAGCTGGGAGCTATTCACAAAACTTAGGAGGAAAACAAACAAACAAACAAACAAAAACAAACGTAGGAGGGTGAAACCCAGCCTGGGGCCAGGCTGCTGCCTAGGGCACTCAGGGGAGACTTGAGGGGTCTGCTAGTCTGAGCCCTGGCCCTCAGGGCTGGTGAAGCAGCGCCACCTACTGGTGTGCCCTGCTGCTGGGTGTCACAGGTCATCTGGTTCCTCCTGGTCCCAGAGTGAGACAGATCATCAGCCTATGACCCTCAGAATGAGGAGCAGAGAGGAACCTTCCATGGGGGACAGGCTTTCCCTCTGGTTCAGAGCCGGAGATCAGGATCTTGTGCAGATGTAGGGAGGACAAGCGTTCCCTTGTGCCGGACGAACACAAATTAGTATTGGTAAGTTCGGCAGATTTTGTCTGCGTTTGGATCCTAGTCCTTCTGGCAGTGTGGCCTTGAAAAAGTTGCTTAACACCTCTGCCCTCAGTTTTCTCATCTGTAAATTAGGATTAGTAATAGTATCCACCTGTCAGGGCTGTTAGGTGTCAGCAGATGCGCAACACTCAGAACAGTGCCTGGTCCATGGTGAATGCTCAGCTCTTAGGTGACCTATTCTGATGTCTATCAGCATTGGATGCCCGGGCTGAGGGCTCATGGGCTGGAGGGGGAGGGGCAGCCTATGGCCCTGGGGGGCCGGGGAGAGGCTGTGTGAGCAGGACAAGGGCCTACGCTCACGGCTAAGCAGTCAGACCCCCCCTGATTGCAGGGGGGACGGCTGAAGGGCGTGGGCCGGGAGGAATGAGGTCAGATCTGCATTTTGCAGACCCAGCATCTGTGCGTGCTTCCTGCTCTGGGTGCCTGGCACACGCACCCTCCCAGTGAGCCTCACGCCCTGCATCCTGGGCTCCATGGTGTCCTCATAAGTAAAGTGTGCAAGTCTATATCACGAGTTAGGGGCAGAGCTCAAAGCCTGGTGAAGGCCGAGACTTCCGTTCCCACAGTCCAGGGCTCCATCCACCCCGTGATGCTGAGGTTTAGGAGGCACCCCCGCCCATGGCATCTGCTCACTTGGCAGAATGCAAGCTGCCAGTGACTTGATCCTTTCTTTGCCCTGCACGCTGCCCCGGGTGGGGGTTCCATAGCTTTTCTGCTCCTCTCAGCTGGAGCGACATCTTATACTAGGAATTAATTAAAAAAAAAAAACTAGTGTCTTTTATCTAAATTAAAACTTCCTTCCTCTCCTATCTGGGCCTGCTTCGGGCTGGGTGATCTGCTGCAGGAAGGTGGTGTGAGGGTGTGAGTGTGTGAATGAGTGCCTGTGAGTGTTGAGTGTGTGAAAGCATGTGAGTGCATGTGCATGTGAGCATGAAAGCATAGGAGCATGTGTGTGCATGTGGGAGAGTGTGTGTATGTGACACTGGGTGTGTGTGTGTATGTGTGTGTGTGTGATTACCTATTCATTATCTATTTGTGCTCCTTAGACCCCGGCTCATCAACCCACCGATAGCTCATCAGGCCACTTGGCATAGGGAGTGGCGATGATGGCACTGCTCCTCTACCAGCCCCATCCCTCTGGCCCTGTTGTAGCGCTTCCTGGGGGCAGTTGAGAGTCTAGCTCAACTAGACTCTGGTCTAGTTGTCCTGGTCCTAGTGTGGGTGTCTCTCCTGGCTTCTCACTGGAAGTTTCCTGCTCCTAGCTGCACACAGCCTCACACCCCTCAGACCTCCAGGAGGAAGCTGGTTTGCCAGAATGTTCATGAAACATGAGTGAGAGGACTTTTTTAAAAAAGAGAAATTAGTGTAACAGGATTGTTCGGATTTAACACAGTATTTCTGAAATCTGAGACGTGACTCGTGTGTTTTCCTGTCAACAGGGGCAACTCGAAATGTCACGCCTGCTGCTACCAATTAATTCATAATTTTTCCATTTGTCGATTAAGTTGCTTGGTGTCAGCAGATTTGGATTTTGTGAAGTCATATAGCTTTGCTCTCAAGAGGAAGATGTGCAAACGTGATCAAGCAGCGAAGTTTTAATGGTGCACACAGCTCAAATAATAAAGCCAAATCTATCCCCCTTGTGAGATTGGGTCGTATGTTTGTATGTTGTGTGTGTGTGTGTGTGTGTGTGTGTGTGTATTGAAGTATGATTAACATTCCACCTTATGTCAGTTTCAGCTGTATAGTATTTGATATGATATTTGTATGTATTGCAATATGATCACCACAGTAAGTCTAGTTAACATCTGTCAGCACACACAGCTACAGAAATTGTTTTTCTTGTGATGAGATCTTTAAGATCTGCTCTCTTGGCAATTTTCATATATGCCACTCAGTATTATGAACTATAGTCACCATGTGGTACATTGCATCCCAGGACCTTTACATTTTATTTTACATCTGGAAGTTTCTACCTTTTGATCCCACCTTCATCCATTTTGCCCACCCCTACCCGCCGACTCTGGCAACCACCAGTCTGTCTATATCTATGATCTTGGTTGCTTTTTTCTTTAGATTCCATATATAAGTAAGATCATCCAGTATTTATCTTTCTCTCTTGGACTTACTTCTCTTAGCATAAGTTCAACCCGGGTTCATCCATGGTGTCACAAATGACAATATTTCCTTCTTTTTCATAGCTCAGTAACATGCCACCATGTATATAGACATCACCTTTTCTTATCCGTTTCCCCATCGATGGACACTTAGGTTGTTTCCATGTGTCAGCTCTTGTACATAAGGCAACAGTGAAATGGGGTACAGGTATCTTTTTGAATTAGTGTTTTTATTTTCTTTGGATAAATCTCCAGGAGTGGATCAAATGGAAGTTCTATTTTTAATTTTTTGAGGAAATGCCATACCATTTTCCATAGCGGCTGCACCTGTTTGCATCCCCACCAAAACTGCATGAGGGTTCCCCTTTGTCCACTCCTCGCCAACATCGGTCCTTTCTAGTGTTGTTGATGGTAGTAATTCTGACAGGAGTGAGGGGATAGCTCATTGTGGTTTGGTCACTTTTATGTCTCAAAGTTTAGCAAAACAGCCCCAAGCTTTTTTGCAAGAAAAATCTCGAAACTGCACAAGTGTGAAATTTTGCCCTGGAATCCACAGTGGTTTGCCAGGGGCAAGGGTCCCATGACTGGACTGTAAGTTTTCATTGACATGTCTCTCTCATCCACTAGGCTAATGATTCTCTCGAGGATGGGACTCAGTTCTCTTAGTCCATGTATTAGTCTATCTACTAGTATTGCATGTAGTTGGCACTCAATAAGTGTTCATTGGATGAATCAACCAAAAGAAATGATTGGGACAAATCATTGGAATATTGGAATTCAGTAACTTTTGAGTGATTGGAAGTTGTACAGGTTCTAAGGATGGTTTTCTTTTCCTTCTTGGTCATCTTGGTTAATGTCTTAGCTCAGGATGCCATAGCAAAATATCACAGGCCAGGGGGTCTCAACAACAGAAATGTGTTTTCTCAGTCACTTTCCTAGAAATCCCTGCCTCCCTGGCCCCTTGCAGAATCCAGATAGCACGTCTGCTCTGTTCAGTGGGAGGAAGCATGTGGCTCTCCCCGTGGCTGTGGCATTGACTGGAAAGAGAGATCCAAATCCTGGCTCTTGGGGCCTCGGATCCAACAAGGCACCTGGTATGAATGGTGTAAGGTCCAGCCACCCGCCTTCTCACTGGGTACTCACACAGCCTTTGCTCAGGTGTGTGCATGAGCTCAGAGAAATCTCTCACTTTCTCTGTCCTCTTCTCCTTACAAGGCCACGAGTTCTGATGGATTAGGCCCCCACCCTTATAATAACCACCTATATACAAACACAGTCACATGGTGGGGTGGGTAGGGCTTCAACATATGAATTCTGGGGACACAGTTCAGTCCATGGCAGATATTTTCCCATTGTAGGTGGCCACGCTTGGAGACTTGCAGGAAGGCAGAGCTGGGAGGGACTTTATAATGTGTTGGGTAACACAGAGAGGGGTGGTCACTTGCCCAGGGCTATACAGCCAGCAGGGCCAGGGCCAGGATGATGGGCTCCACTCCCCAGGAGGCTCCCAGAGGCCTGGGCTGGGTGCTCTCTGCAGAAGGGGGATGGCAGGTGGTGGGGGGAGCAAGTGGATGGGTGCTCACACTATCCTGATGCTGCCCTTGTGTTAGTTACAGGACTCTGATCAGACCCACATACAGAGTGTCCTACCGCACGGTGACAGCACTGGAGTGGAGATGCTGCCCTGGCTTCACTGGGAGCAACTGTGAGGAGGGTGAGTCTCCTGGGTTGTGGGGGGCCTGGGGAGTCCGGGACCAAGGGCTGGGCACCAGGTGCAGGGGGACGGGCTTCAGAGTCTCTGGGTGTTTCTACCACCCTGCCAGTGGGCACCGCGGTGAGGTCCCTGTGTGCATCGGTTGAGTGGAGGAGCATCATGAGTCCTGGCCCTAAGGGAGGGGTCTTTGCTCTGGATCCCACTCAGCCTGGAATGGAGGCAGGCAGAGCTGGCTACCGAGTCTCTGTTCAGCCGGCAGCCACGTCCGTTGTAGAATGAGGCAAACGGACCTGGTGGGCAGTGGGGCAGGTTGTCCGGCCCTTCTGCCTGGCTGGAGCCCAGAGGGAGGAAGGGGGGCAGGGGACAGGGCCCAGGGCTGGGGTCTTCCTTCTGGGCCCCTGGACCTGGTCTCAACCTGCCTCTGCAGCCCGATGGGGCCAGACACCAGCACTCAGGTGGGTCAGGGGTGGCCGGCAGCGAATCCTAGCTGTGCTCACGGCCAGGGAAAGCAGGTCCTGCCCGACCGACAGAGTCACAAAGCGTCTTGTTCCCCATGTTAGCTGGCTGGCCTGGAGGCCAGTGCGTCAGTTTTGTATTTGAAAACGGTGGTTTTCCATGGCATTGACTTTCTGATTAAGAAAATTATCTTCCCTCATCTTTTTTGTGACCTAACACACTGACTTTTGACTTATGTATCTGCTTTTATTTTTTTTTTAAGATTTTGTTTATTTATTCATGAGACACACACACACACACACACACACACAGAGAGAGAGAGAGAGAGAGAGAGGCAGAGACACAGGCAGAGGGAGAAGCAGGCTCCATGCAGGGAGCCCGATGCGGGACTTGATTCCAGGACTCCAGAACCACAACCTGAGCCAAATGCAGGTGCTAAACCACTGAGCCACCCAGGGATCCTCCCATATCTGCTTTTATAAGTTAGGTAATTATAAAGTTCTAATAAGTTATAATATTTTGGGTACATGCTTCTGTTGTAAATGACGTAAGATTTTTGGGTTATAAATAAGAACATAACGGAATAATGACAGAATGGTAATTATAATGATGATGATGCCTCGCGGGGCCTGTGGTCCAATGTGGAGTTGAAGAAAGGCTCCAACGGTGCCATCTCTCCTGACTCAGAAGGTGCCTACTTCTCGGAGGGGAGCTGATGCACGCTTGAGGGTGTAGAGCCTCCATGGGTCTCTCCTAGGAGAGGGGCAGGTGGGAGTGCAGGAGTGAGGGGAGGACTCGCTCCCCCCAGGTGAGCAAGTGGGTGGCTGGATCCCATCTCCCATCTCACATCTCTTGATGTGAGACCATTGTTCACACCCGGTGCCTTGGGTCTGAGGTCCTGAGAGCCTAGATTTGGATCTACATTTGTGGTCAAAGCTATGGCCATGGGGAGGGGAGAGCCCACTGAACAAAGCAGACATGCTGTCCAGATTCTACAAGGGGCCGGGCAGGCAGGGGTTTCTAGGGAATTGATGGATTTACCCTGAAGTAACTGGTGGAATAACTGAGTGAATTTTCAATGATCAATAAAATGAACCACATTGGGCTCTACCCAGTGATGTCCTGGGTAGGCTCCTCCCTCTGCTCATCTTAAAAAATTTTTTTTTCAGATTTTTATTTATTTATTCATGAGAGACACACAGAGAGAGGCAGAGACACAGGCAGAGGGAGAAGCAGGCTCCCCATGGCGAGCCCGATGCAGGATTCGATCCTAGGACCCTGCGATCATGCCCTGAGCTGAAGGCAGATGCTCAACCACTGAGCCACCCAGCTGTCCCTCTGCTCATCTTTAGAGGCCTTTGCTCAGCACTGGGAAGGCTTTGGGGGCCCCTCTCTCACCTGCCAGAGACTCTAAGCTCCCCCCTGATCCCATCCTGGCCTCAGCTGGCTGTAATCAAGTGTATTCATGTTTGCTCCCCACCCCCTCCCAACTGTCGCTCGCCACCCTGCAGCCTGTATGTTTCTTCTAAGGGTAACTGAGCCCGGCCCGAGTAGGTCTCCTTCCTCCCTCCCCTGGAAACCACTGCAGTGCTGAAGCATGTACAATTTTAAATCTCTCTTCATGTTCTCTTTATTAAAGGACTGATCCAGTAAATGAAGTGTAAGTCTCAGATGTCTGAGTCATAAACCTCAGGCAAATAGATAAAGAGCACATGTTTGATTGAACTCAGTGAATTAACCAGCAGCCTGGCAAAAGTGATTCAAAAAGGGGATTTGAGACACTGATACAGATGCAGACCACAGGGCTCTAGACCACCCTTAGGTCAGATAATTCACTGGGAGAACTCAAAGAGCCAAAAAGCAATTGCACTCAGTCTTATGGTTTATTACAGTGAAAGGTGTGGATTCAAATCCTCCAGGAGAAGAAACCCATGGGACAGAGACCAGGATGGTTAAACACACAGGTGCCAGTTGTCTGCTCCCAGTGGAGGCACGGACAGTGATGAACTCCTCCCAGCAAGTGTTAAACAGGTTGACAAAAATGCTGTGACCAGATGCTGGCAGAAGCCTAACCCTGTATCTCCCTAGGAATAGTGGTTCATATTTGTTAATTCAGGACCACAGTGACTTTATAGATCACGGCTACCATGAATAGGGAAAATTAACTGTGTCTAAGTATCTAGAACTATAGGTATATTTCTATATTTTTTCTTATTACAAAAATTAAGTACGTGTTCAGTGTGGAAAAGGCGAAGACACCCAGAATCACACCTGTCAAGGCAACCTTGAGTGTCACTTTGGTGAAAAGCCTACAGATCTTTTTTCTGTGCATTTGGTTGTACTATTTTGATAACTTTCTTTTTCATATGATTTACCATGAATGTTTCTCCTTGTCAATAGATAGTTTTCTATAGCATTATTTTTCATGGCTGTAAAATTTGAATATACCCTTTATTATTATTTTTTAATATTTTATTTATTTATTCATGAGAGAGAGAGAGAGAGAGAGAGACTGAGAGAGGGAGGCAGAGACATAGGCGGAGGGAGAAGCAGGCCCCATGCAGGGAGTCTGACGTGGGACTCGATCCAGGGACTCCAGGATCATGCCCTGGGCAGAAGGCAGACACTTAACCTCTGAGCCACTCCGGCGTCCCAGGTATACCCTTTATTAACTAAACCCGTACTGCAAGGTGTTTAAGTTGCTCCCAAGTTTTAAATTATTGATGATATTACTGTAAACATCTTTTTTTCTTTTTCTTTCTTATTTTTCTGACATAAAGTTTACATACTCTGATAGGCACCAATCTTAATTGAGTGTACACTTTGAGGATTTTTTTTTTTAAGATATTAGTTGTTTATTCATGAGAGGCAGAGAGAGAAAGAGAGAGGCAGAGACATAGGCAGAGGGAGAAGCTCCCTGCGGGGAGCCCGATGCAGGACTTGATCCCAGGACCTGAATCAAAAGGCAGATGCTCAACCACTGAGCTATCCAGGTGCCCCTAGGAGTTTTGATACATGTATGAATTAACATCACCTCCTGGAAAGTCCTCATCCCTTAGCAGCCACTGTCCTGATTTCTATCATCAGAAATCAGTTTGGTCTATTCTCTGAACTTCATATAAATTAAACCATATAATCTATACTCTTGTGCATGGTTTCTTTCAATTAATATGTTGTGAGATTTATTCATACTGTGATGTGTATATCAGTAGTTTACTAATTTTTATTACTGGATATTATTCCATTGTGTAAATAAGCACAATATTATTTATACGTTGTCCTGTGGATAGATCTTTGGATTGTCTCTAGTTTTTGGCTTTAAGAATACAACTTCTGCAAACATCCTTGTCTTTCTGTGAACATGTTTTTATTTCCCCTGGGTTAATCCTACAAGTGGAATTGCTAGGTCAGGTTGTAAGTCTAGCTTTATAGGAAAGACCCAAACTGTTTCCTGAAGTGGTTTTACCAGGTTGCACTCCCACCAGCAAAGTGTGTCCCAGTTGCTCCTCATCATTGCCAACATTTGGTGTTGTCAGTCTTTTTCATTTCAGCTATTCTTGAGGGTGTGAAATGCTCTGTCATTGTGATTTTATTTTGTACTTCTCTGTTGAGTAATGATATTGAGCATCTTTTTTTTAAAAAAGATTTTATTTAGGGATCCCTGGGTGGCGCAGTGGTTTGGCGCCTGCCTTTGGCCTGGGGCGTGATCCTGGAGACCCAGGATTGAATCCCACGTTGGGCTCCTGGTGCATGGAGCCTGCTTCTCCCTCTGCCTGTGTCTCTGCCTCTCTCTCTCTCTCCCTGTGTGACTATCATAAATAAATAAAAATTAAAAAAAATTTAAAGATTTTATTTATATATTCATGAGAGACACAGAGTCCCTGCAGGGAGCCCGATGCAGGTCTCAATCCCAGGACCCTGGGATCACGACCTGAGCCAAAGGCAGATGCTCAACCACTGAGCCACCCAGGTGCCCCTTGAGCATCTTCTTGTATGTCTATCTGACATACTTACCAGCCATTCTTAATCTTTCCTTGTGAAGTATCTGTTCAAGACTTTTGTTCATTTTTAACTGGGTTGTTTAACTTGATAAGAAATAGCCAAGTTATTTTCCAAAGAGGTTTTAACATTTTTTAGTCCCACAAGCAAAGTGTGTTTCAGTTGCTCCACATTCTAGCCAATATTTGGTGTGTTAGTCTTTTTAACATTAGCTGTGCTAGTGGCAATGAAATAAAATAAAATGCAGTTTCTTCTTTTTCAAGACTACTTTTACACTTTAGTCCTTTTGCATCTCCATAAAAACTTTATATAATTTAACAATGTCTGCAAAAAAAAAAAAACTGTGATGGGGAGTAGGACTGTGATGAATTTATAGACCAATTTGGGGAGAATAGATATCTTGAGTCTCCTGATTCATGAACATAGTATAGCTCTCCATTTATTTAGGTACTTTTTAGCTTTCAGAGTAGTAGAGGTATTGCTTGTCTCTTATTAAATTTATTTCTAACTGTTTTGTGGTTTTGGTTTTTTTTGAAAAATGAGAT